CTATCCCCGGTGGCTACAATCAGTTCTATAATAAATACATCACCGTCATCCTGCGGTCATTTGGTTCCAAATACACAAATGAGGATTGTAAGCACGGGAGATGACACTTTTGGCAGAAATTTAGGTCCGCATGAAGTGGGAGAAATATATATACGGGGCCCACAAGTAATGAAAGGGTATTACAAAAATCCCAAGGCAACAGCAAATACTATGGATGGAGATTGGTACAAGACTGATGATTTAGGGCATTATACTGAAGATGGTAAGCGAGATTTAATCAGAAACTTTTAAAAAATAAGACTGTGACAATAATTATATTTAATAATCGAAACGAGATAATTGTGTATCATATGTTGCAAAATACAGGTACATTGTATTTGCAAGGACGATTGAAGGAATTGATAAAAGTAAAAGGATATCAAGTTGCACCCACTGAACTTGAAGAAGTAATTCGTTATTACGATAATGTAAAAGATGTCGCCGTCATTGGTGTGACACACGAGAATTATGGCGAAATTCCAAAAGCTTTTGTAGTTCCTAAGTCGGGAGTCAAAATTAATGAGAACGAACTCAAAGAATTTGTCGCTAAACATGTAGCCAAGTATAAACAATTAGGATATGTACAAGTTATAGAAAATATTCCGAAATCTGCATCCGGAAAAATTCTTCGAAAAGAACTTGAAAATTTATAACATATTCTTCAAATATCGAGTTTCATACTCGAATTGATGTCAAGAAATTTACGACTAAATACTAAGTAAACATCGATTTATACATGCATTGTATCTGCATCGTGGTTAAAATTATGTTTAATATTAACAAAAATGTTTATTATAACAAAAAGTGACTATCTTTCTATCCATACAAGACACGGTTGTTTATTTACAGGATAATTTAAAACAAAATTATTCTTTAGTTTTGTTGACACCACTTTGAGAGGATTCTTCTTTTTCCAAAAGAGCACTAGTAATTCCAGCTTTCTTCAATTCCTCAATAAGCTCTCCATTTTTATGCATTTCTAAGAGTATGTCGCAGCCACCCACAAAATCACCATTTATAAATACTTGGGGTATTGTAGGCCAAT